TACCACTAAAAACAACTATGATACCTTCAAGATCAGCCTTGGTGATCAATATAGCATCACCAGAGAGTGCAGGAGATGCTATTCACTGCTGCTTATATTCTTGAACAGCTCGCAGTAGGTAGTGTAGGGAAATGACACCGGAAAATAGCGATGATAATACTGCAATAATATTATTTGTAAGCAGATACATGAGTTGGCTTGACTCATGCTAGGCACTGTCCTAAGAAACTATTTCAGCAATGTGAAATATTTTCCCAAGATTAAACAAGCCCGTCTCTATTTGATTTAGAGGATACAGGAATCAGCAAAATTAAATATTACAAACCTAGCTATTTAAAAGAAGGGAACAAGAGAAGTTAAACTACCAAAAAGAAAGACACCAAAGGAAAATTGGTGAATAATGAAATTAGAAGGAAAGAGAAGAAAGATTTCTTTTTGTCTTGCTGATCATGATTTCTTGTCCAATTGAGAGCCTATTTATAGGCACATGTGCATGGATTCATATGCTGAGGGAAAGGAACGTGGCAAAGCAATTGCCACTTTTCAAAAGCTTCTTGTCATTTATCTCTTCCCTTCTAGAAGGCTTGCCACATGTTCTTGGATAAGACATTTGTCTAACAAAGGGCATTAAAATATTGTTACAGTCCCCCATTATTTTAAAGACCTTCAAAAATGAACTTGCTGGATTTGTATGGTCCAAATGTAATAGGTTTGGTGTCTTCAGGACTATGAACCAAACTTAGACCAATAAAACTTAACTCACAGAATTACTGGTGAAATATAATATTTCTATGAACCAATAATTCTTATTGTAAGTCAGAGATTTTATCGATCACACTTTGACCCCCGGTAATTTTGTTGTTCAACGCGGTTTTATGCCAATAGGCCATGCGCGTGCCTGGTTATTCATGAGAGCTCTAGAGACTAGGCCAAAATCTCATAGGAGCGGCCCACTCCACCCTCATACAGGTAAATTCATCAAGCGTATACTGCTTTTAAATACACCATCCATAAGGACTATGAATTTCATTAAGAGTTATAACTCAACCTCTTAATTAGTAGCAGTCAAGCACTCTCTTTTAGTGCATCGTGCCAATATCGACTTGTTATTACCCATATGAACCAACTTCATGGGATCTCCAATCATATAGGTTAGGTTACCATCTCTATTGACAACATGTCGGCCTTAACCCCATCTCTTTTGAGGTTTGAAGAATTAATTTTCTTCCCACAGATTTAGTCAGAGGATCGGCCAAATTTATCTCCGACTTCACATAATCAATGGAAATTATTCCATCTTTCAACAACTGTTTTATGACATCATGTCTCAATTTCATGTGTCTACTTTTACAATTATAAGATTTATTCTTTGCAATAACTATTGCCGCTTGACAATCACAATGCATAGACACAGGAGGCAATACGTCATTTATTAAAGGGATATTAGCTAAGGAGTTTCTTAGCCACTCAGCCTCAGAACCAACTAACTCCAGAGCTACAAACTCTGATTCCATAGTCGATCTAGCGATGATCGTCTGTTTAGCTGATTTCCACGATATTGCACCACCACCAAGGGTGAATGCATAACCACTAGTGAATTTTGTCTCATCTAAATTAGAGATCCAGTTTGCATCACTGTACCCTTCTAAAGTAGAAGGAAAGCCACTATATAGGATGCCATAATTTAGGGTTCCTCTCAAATATTTCATTAGTCTAGCTAATGCAGACCAATGCTCTCTATTGGGATTATGAGTATATCTACTCAGTCTACACACTGCATAGGCTATATCAGGCATTGTAAAATTCATTAAATGCATCAGACTCCCAATAATCTGAGCATATTTAGACTGATCAACTGGGTCACCATTATTCTTTTTCAATTGAGAGTTAACATCAAAAGGAGTGCTCACAAATGTGACATTCAAATATTCAAACTTCTTAAGAAGTCTCTCAACGTAGTGTTCTTGTGACAATATTATTCCATCTTCACTCCTTATAACTTTAACTCCCAATATTGTATTTACTTCACCCAGATCTTTCATATCAAAATTTGCAGACAAAAATAATTTAGTACTTTTCACAATATTTAAACTTGTACCAAGTATAAGCATATTATCAATATATAGACATATTATCACATAATCATTGTCTACCATTTTAGTATAAACACATTTATCCACCTCAACTGAAGAGAAATAGTCTCTCAGTAAGACTTGTTCAAATTTCTCATACCATTGCTTAGGAGCATGTTTAAGGCCCAGAGAGATTTAATTAATTAACTAACTTTATTTTCTTGTCCAGGAATGACACAGCCTTCAGGTTGAACCATGTAAATTTCTTCTTCTAAATCGCCATTTAGAAAAGCAGTTTTGACATCCATTTGGTGGATAAAAAGCTTATGGATTGAAGCTAAGGCAATTAAAATTCAAATAGAAGAAATTCTAGTCACTGGTGCAAGTGTATCAAAATAATCTATATTTTATTTTTGAGAAAAACCTTTTGCTACTAACTGAGCTTTATATTTTTCTAAAGAACCATCAGGATTAAATTTCTTTTTGAAAATCCATTTACAACCAATAGGTTTTGCACCAAGAGGTAAGTCAGTTAAAATCAATGTATTATTTTTCATAATAGAATCAATTTCAATATTTATTAGCTCTTTCCAATAATTAGCTTCTGAAGAAGATATAGCTTCAAAATAATTTGATGGTTCATTATCGACAAGAAAAGTTTGAAAATCATTTCCATAAGAAAAATATTCTTTCCTAGGCCTTTTGCTCCTTCTCTGTTCCTCATTAGAGGTAATTTTATTATTTGTTTCAACAGGTGTATGAGAAATTTTTTCAGACAGTGGATAAATATATTCAAAGAACTGAGCATTCTTTGTCTCAATTATAGTATTGCAATCAAGCATATCACTTTTTAAAACAAGAAATCTATATGCAGCACTATGTTCAGCATATCCAATAAGCATGCAATCAGCGGTTTTAGAACCTATTTTTCTCTTTTTAGGTTCAGGCACAGAACTTTAGCAAGGCACCCACACACTTTTAAATATTTCAAGTTAGGTTTATAACCCTTCCATAATTCATAAGGAGTTTTGCCGGTTCTTCTATGAGGTATTCTATTTTGTAAGTGATATGCAGATAAAATAGCTTCACCCCACAAATTATCAGGAGCATTAGAACTAACTAACATAGAGTTCATCATCTCTTTCAATGTTATATTTTTCCTTTCAGCTACTCCATTTGACTCAGGTGAATAAGGCGGAGTAACTTCACGGATTATTCCATTCTTTTCACAAAAATCATTTGAAGATAAATATTCTCCACCTCTATCGGATCTAATTCTCTTGATTTTTCTACTAAGTTGATTTTCAACCTCAATTTTATAAGAAATAAAAGCATTAAAAGCATCGTCTTTATTTCTAAGCAAATACAGCTTAGTATATCTAGAAAAATCATCAATAAATGTCACATAATACTTTTTACCACCTCTAGTCATAGTCTGCTTTAAATCGCCTAAATTAGTGTGAATCAATGATAATAATTCAGTTTCTCTATTTACAGAAAAACAAGTCTTTCTAGTACTTTTAGCTTCAGCACATGTTTCAACTTGTTAATATTATTTGAGTCTAAACTAGATATTAATCCTAACGACTGCATTTTTCTTTATATACGCGACAGTAACATATCCTAGTCTAGCGTGCCACAAAGAAACTGACTCAACCATATAAGCAGAAGAAGATGCATTTTTATTGCTGGTATCAAAAATATTAAGCACAAATAAATCATGGTTACAATATTCATTGCCCACAAAAATATCATTTTTGGTCAATACGACCTCATTATTTTTAAATGAAACCTTCACTCCAACTTTTCCTAATAATCCCACAGAAACCAAATTGGTTTGGATATTAGGAACATGCAATACATCACTCAATGCTAGAGTTTTACCAGATGTGAGTCCTTTTCCAAGAACATGAGTTGTTCTTGAGTCACCAAGATAAATAGTTTCTTCTCCTTTCTCAACTTGAGTGTAAGACAAAAATTCATTTTTATTTGCGCAAATGTGCCTAGTAGCACCAGAGTCTATCACTCAATTTCTCACATTGGCCACATTATTTATTTGGGAAATAACCGCAACACCTATATTATCTGCTTTAGTCAAGTTTAATTTTGACTTTGCGAGATTGTCATTTATCCCAATTCTTCTATCGCATTGAGGTGCATTTTTCTTGAAGGTTTTAATATTAGCATTGGATAGGTAACCATGTCTATTCACATACTTGTGTTTTGACATTAGTGTTTGTCAAAGTTGTGGATGCAATAATGTATTTGCAACACCATGGATATCTGGCAGGACAGCTGGAAGTGTAGCAGCAGAGAAAACACCAAAATTGGTAGCACCATAATAAATTTCCATGGTAGTATTACACGAAATAGTTTCTTAGATTGTGTAGGGGAATGACACCGGAAAATAACGATGATAATACTGCAATAATATTATTTGTAAGCAGATACACGAATTGGCTTGAGTCGTGCTAGGCACTTTCCTAAGAAACTATTTCAGCAATGTGAAATGTTTCCCCAAGATTAAACAAGCCCGTCTCTATTTGATTTAGAGGATACATGAATCAGCAAAATTAAATATTACAAACCCAGCTATTTAAAAGAGGGGAGCAAGAGAAGTTAAACTACCAAAAAGAAAGACAACAAAGGGAAATTGGTGAATAATGAAATTAGAAGTAAAGAGAAAAGGATTTCTTTTGTCTTGCTGATCATGATTTCTTGTCCAATTGAGAGCCTATTTATAGGCACATGTGCAAGGATTCATATGCTGAGGGAAAGAAACGCGGCAAAGCAATTGCCACTTTTCAAAAGCTTCTTGCCATTTATATCTTCCCTTCTAGAAGGCTTGCCACATGTTCTTGGGTAAGACATTTGTCTAACAAAGGGCATTAAAATATTGTTACAGGTAGTACATGCACTTTGGTTTACCTTCCACTGAGAAGGAGCCAATAACACTCAAGAGGACTTCTGGAGCGAACATAGACCAGTGCAGCAGCAGGAGTCATGTGTTTATATTCCACCTGGAATTATAAGAGCATCATCATAGTTTTCAATCTAACAGTTGGCTGTCAACTTTGAAAGATAGAGCAGCGCCTGCTGTAGTGTAATTTCAAGGTGGAGAACAATCAATTCTCTTTTAGCAAAAGGAAGCTACCAAATAAACAGATCACGTACAACGGTTGTGCTCCTTCCCCTTAATTCCCGCTTTGCAATGCACTTAAGTAATCTGGCCATTACATGCATTCTCTGCAATAGAGAAGCAAATCAGGAAGTGATGAAAGGACAAATACTGTAACATGGAGACACCTAAATGACAGTAACGCAGTCATCAAAAGAACAATATTCTTTAATAGCCATCAGAAAAAAGAAAACAAGAAAAGAGTTAATAATAGATGCAATCACTCACAGTGAATAAATTTGACCGCTCGGTTGATATCCACAAGAGACTAGGTGATTTCTTTTCATTTGCTCAAGCTCGGTAGGCAGAGTTATTCGATAAATTTGGTGGTGATATGTACCGGGTATCCGAATAGAACAGTCAGGCGGCGCACAAACTGGTCTAGACACTTACCATTATAAAGGAAAAAGCGAACAAAAGATGATAGTCTGAAAAAGAAGCGACTCACATAGTATAATGAGGATGGTACCAAAGTTTCATAAGGCTCATTTAGCGAGATTACTCTCCACCAACTCCAAGCTGCTTCAACCGAGGAACATCAGATGGAAATGGAACCGCTCCCGGCAGAAGAAACTGATGAATCAAAAAACAATTTCACAAGGGAACTACACTTTTGTACAACTAAGCAAAAAGTATTGAAATTGCTAATGCTTATAAAGTCAACTGTTGTGATATTTCCAAAAATGTGGACAAATGTCCATCCATGTGGCAAGATGCATGCAAGTAAAGTGGACAAATGTCTTACCCAAGAACATGTGGCAAGCCTTCTAGAAGGGAAGAGATAAATGGCAAGAAGCTTTTGACAAGTGGCAAAATCCATTAGCTACTTTCTTGCCATGCACAACAAAACTTCATGCAAATGAGGCTATAAATAGCCATTTCCAGTCACTCATTTTGATCATCAAGACAAAAAGAAATCCTTCTTCTCTTTCCTTCTAATTTCATTATTCACCAACTTTCCTTTGTTGTTTTTCTTTTTGGTAGTTTAACTTCTCTTGTTCCCCTCTTTTAAATAGCTGGGTTTGTAACATTTGATTTTGTTGATTCCTGTATCCTCTAAATAAATAGAGATGGGCTTGTTTAATCCTGGGGAAACATTTCACATTGCTGAAATAGTTTCTTAGGACAGTGCCTAGCACGACTCAAGCCAATTCGTGTGTATGCTTACAAATAATATTATTGCAGTATTATTATTGTTATTTTTCGGTGTCATTTTCCTACAATCTAAGAAACTATGGCAAGCAATACTACTACGAAAATTTTCGATGGTGCTACCAATTTTGGTGTTGTCTCTACTGCTATTGTTCCAGTTGTCCTGCCAGATATCCATGGTGTTGCAAATACGTTATTGCATCCACAACCTTGGCAGATACTAATATCAAAACACAGGTATGTAAATAGACATGGTTACATATCTAATGCTAATATTAAAACCTTCAAGAAAAATGCACCTCAATGCAATAGAAGAGTTGGGATAAATGATAATCTCGCTAAGTCAAAATTAAATTTGACTAAAGCGGATAATATAATTATTGCGGTCATTTCCCAAATAAATAATGTGGCCAATGTGAGAGATTGGGTGATAGACTCTGGTGCTACTAGGCATATTTGTGGAAATAAAAATGAATTTTTGTCTTACACCCAAGTTAAGGAAGGAGAAGAAACTATTTATCTTGGTGACTCAAGAACAACTCGTGTTCTTGGGAAAGGAAAAATTCTTCTCAAACTCACATCTGGTAAAACTCTAGCATTGCGTGATGTATTGCATGTTCCTAATATCCAAACCAATTTAGTATCTGTGGGGTTATTAGAAAAAGTTGGAGTGAAGGTTTCATTTGAAAATAATGAGGTCGTATTAACCAAAAATGATATTTTTGTGGGCAATGGATATTGTAACTATGGTTTATTTGTGCTTAATATTTCTGATACTAGCAATGAAAATGCATCTTCTTCTGCTTATATGGTTGAGTCAATTTCTTTGTGGCATGCTAGACTAGGACATGTTAATGTTGCGTATATAAAGAAAATGCAGTCGCTTTAATAACATCTGGTTTAGACTCAAGTAATATTAATAAGTGTGAAATATGTGCTGAAGCTAAAAGTACAAGAAAGACTTATTTTTCTGTAAATAGAGAAACAGAATTGTTATCTTTAATTCACACTGATTTAGGCGATTTAAAGCAGACTATGACTAGAGGTGGTAAAAGATATTATGTGACTTTTATTGATGATTTTTCTAGATATACTAAGCTGTATCTGCTTAGAAATAAAGATGATGCATTTAATGCTTTTATTTCTTATAAAACTGAGATTGAAAATCAACTTAGTAGAAAAATCAAGAGAATTGGATCAGATAGAGGTGGAGAATATTTATCTTTAAATGAATTTTGTTTAAATAATGGAATTATTCATGAAATAACTCCGCCTTATTCATCTTAGTCAAATGGAGTAGCTGAAAGGAAAAATAGAACATTGAAAGAGATGATGAACTCCATGTTAGTTAGTTCTAATGCTCCTGATAACTTGTGGGGTGAAACTATTTTATCTGCATGTCACTTACAAAATAGAATACCACATAGAAGAACTGGCAAAACTCCGTATGAATTGTGGAAGAGTTATAAACCTAACTTGAAATATTTAAAAGTGTGGGGGTGCCTTGCTAAAGTTCTTTTGCCTGAACCTAAAAAGAGAAAAATAGGTTCTAAAACTGTTGATTGCATGCTAATTGGATATGCTGAACATAGTGCTGCATATATATTTCTTGTTTTAAAAAGTGATGTGCTTGATTGCAATACTATAATTGAGACAAAGAATGCTGAGTTCTTTGAATATATTTATCCATTATCTGATAAAATTTCTCATACACCTGTTGAAACAAATAATGAAATTATCTCAAATAAGGAACTGAGAAGGAGCAAAAGGCCTAGGAAAGAATATTTTCCTTATGGAAATAATTTTCAAACTTTTCTTGTCGATAATGAACCATCAAATTATTTTGAAGCTAAATCTTCTTCATATGCTAAATATTGAAAAGAGGCAATAAAAGTTGAAATTGATTCTATTATGAAAAATAATACATGGATTTTAACTGACTTACCTCCCGGTGCAAAACCTATTGGTTGTAAATGGATTTTCAAAAAGAAATTTAATCCTGATGGATCTTTAGATAAATATAAAGCTCGGTTAGTAGCAAAAGGTTTTTCTCAAAAACAAAATATAGACTATTTTGATACATTTGCACCAGTAACTAGAATTTCTTCTATTCGAATTTTAATTGCCTTAGCTTCAATCCATAAGCTTTTTATCCATCAAATGGATGTGAAACCTGCTTTTCTAAATGGTGATTTAGAAGAAGAGATTTATATGGTTCAACCTGAAGTCCGTGTCATTCCTGGACAAGAAAATAAAGTTTGTAAATTAATTAAATCTCTTTATGGCCTTAAACAAGCTCCTAAGCAGCGGTATGAGAAATTTGAACAAGTCTTACTGAGAGACGGTTTTTCTTCAGTTGAGGTGGATAAATGTGTTTATACAAAAGTGATAGACAATGATTATGTGATAATATGTCTATATGTTGATGACATATTTATATTTGGTACAAGTTTAAATATTGTGCAAAGCACTAAATTATTTTTGTCTTCTAATTTTGATAGTAAAGATCTGGGTGAAGTAAATATAATATTGGGAGTTAAAGTTATAAGGAGTGAAGATGGAATAATGTTGTCACAAGAACATTATGTTGAGAGACTTCTTAAGAAGTTTGAATTTTTTAATGTCACATCTGTGAACACTCTTTTTGATGCTAACTCTCAGTTGAAAAAGAATAATAGTGACCCAGTTGCTCAGTCTAAATATGCTCAGATTATTGGGAGTCTGATGCATTTAATAAATTCTACAAGGCCTGATATAGCCTATGTTGTGTGTAGACTGAGTAGATATACTCATAATCCCAACAGAGAGCATTGGTCTGCATTAGATTGTCACGACCCAATTCCCACCCGGTCGTGATGGCGCCTCTCGTGAAGACAAGGCCAGCCAACAGAACAATCAACACTGTTTTTGACAATTTCTTAGCATAACAGGTTTAAACCATAGATACTGATTAATCATAAGTGCGGAAATAAACGTAACATAACGGGGAAAAACCATCCCAAACTCAGCCCGATGATCGGGGTGTCACAAGTCATGAGCTACTACAGAGTTGATGAAAATACTACAAGTCTGGAAACATAGTCTGAAGATGAATAAAATATGCAGAAGATAAGGAAGAAACGGGGCTGTGGACGTCGACAGCTACCTCGTCTCTCCTAGTCCGCCTGGTCTGGAAGGAAATCAGCCCTCAGGTACGAACTCAGCTGTGCCTGTCTCTGCACACATGGTGCAGGAAGTAATGTGAGTACTCCGACCCATTGAGTAATAAAATTAAATAACGACTGAGAACATAAAATCCCACAAGGGCACAAATAATTCTATCTCAAGCAGCAACATCAGATAAATAGTAGAAACCAGTGAAATATAGGAAGAAAATCTTTTTGAAAACAGTTAAAAATCAATCATACTCAACCAGTAAGTCAGCCATTGTTACCTGACCGGTCAACCATTGTTACCTGACCAAACGCGTATTACAGTGCCATTGTTACCACTGGTCAGTCATTGTTACCTGACTGGTCAGTCATTGTTACCTGACCAAACGCGTATAACAGTGTCATTGTAACCACTGTTCAATATTTAATCACTCTAGATGGGTACCCGCGCTCACTGTGGGTGTGCAGACTCCGGAGGGGCTCAGCTCAAGCGCCTTCAACAAGGCCTGAAAGCCTGAACAGTATCAATACGAGGCCTGAAAGCCTCCTCACCTCACTCACCATGCCCTCACATAAGGCCCTCGGCCTCAATCAGTCCAAAAATAGTAAATAGCCCCTCGAGCAACAGTAAAGCAATAATACTCAGCTCAAACAATAGTTCAAATATCAGTTTAAAACTCCAAGTTTGAGTAAATATGGCTGAGTTCAAGAAACAGTGAAAATCACATGGACCGAGTTCAAATAATATTTCAAACAGTGAGGAAAACAGTGATGATAGTTCATAAAGAGTTCAAACAGTCGGCAATAAGCCCCAAATATGGCAATAAGCCCAAATCATAGTGAAAACAACAAGTCATTGCTAATGCGCGGTAAAATATCATCTGGACTGGACCAAGTCACAGTCCCCAATAGTAAATGACCTCGCGCTCGTCATGGAACGCGTGTCTCATCTCAACATAGCACCAAGTTGTGCAAGTCCGGGTTTTCAAACCCTCAGAACATCATTTAAAATCATTACTCACCTCTAGCCGGTCAAAGTCTAGCTCGCTATGCCTTTTCCCCTCGAATCGACCTCCTCGCGCGTCGAATCTGATCAAAACCACAAGGAATACATCACAATAGGCTAATGGGTCATAACCCAATCGAAAAGACTCGAAAAATATCAAAAATTACGAAGTTGGCAAAACCCGAGCCCCGGGACCACTTCTCGAAAAATTACGAAATTCACATCTCCGGATTCCTCGTCTCGCCACGAGTCTATACATATCAAAATCATCATAATCGGGGTCCATTTGACCCCTCAAATCCCTTTTTTAAACTCTCTTAAATTCAAGCCTTAAACCACCATTTTAAACCTTTGATTCCTTGATTATTCAGTCCAAATTCATGTTTATACACCATAAAATCAAGCTCTAAGTCCAAGAGTTCATACCTGATAATAGCCCTCGAATCCCTCTTCAAAATCGCCTCAAAGCTCTCAAGGTTCGGAGTCCAAAATGTCACTCTTTCGAAAATT